ATATATATAATAAAATAAAAAACAAGCAAAATAATCACCTCATATAAATCATGTACTTTACTGTCATACATTTCCTGTTTTTCTAGAATTTTTTTAAGAACATTGAAATACATGCTATGTCTTATTTCGTTTATTTTGAATTTGTATTTTTTTTGACATTCGATTACATTTTTGTTGTTGTCAGATACTAAGTTCATTAAATGCTAAAAAAAAAGTAACTGTTAAAAAGGAGCAAGTACGAATGTTTTACATACAACTCAGGAAAAAAGTAAATCGTTCTATTTACATTGATGTATTTAAAAAATATATCATTATATCTTAATTTAGTTACTGCTTTAGAACAATTACTATCTAGATGATATATCAACTTGGCTGATAAATTTTTGACGGCGTTTGCACGAGACACAACCATTTTTCGATAAAGTTTGACTTCATTTAACCGTCTTTTCAGTAACAGCTCAAGGTTACTCACATCATCCTTTGAACCAGAAATCTATAAAATGAAAAAAGTTTGTAAAAAATGTATTCTTTTATATTGAGTATAGAAAATGGTAGTTTTCCTACGAGTTTGAAAAGTCTTTGTTTGCGAACCGAGAGGTTTGCGGCCCGAGCCGAAGGCGAGGGACGTAACGAGGTTCGTAAAGGAGACTTTTCGAACGAGTTCCGGAAAACTACTTTTTCGCCTGAGGAAGTACCAGCCTCCCAAAACCACCCGAGGGCGGAAAAAGGGCATTAATAAACGAAGCATGAAACTAAATATCATCGAAGAAATTAACGCAAAAAATAATGGTTGCATATAATCATACATTATATTTTATAATACGCAACGTGATAATTTTAACAGCAATCATGTTTAGATAGTCAATTAGAGGCGTGAATCAAAGATTTATAAAAGAAATTTGAAAAATATTCAGGTATTTCATCGTACGGATAGCGGAAAACTTATATTCAACATTGTATTTACTATTCTATTTACCATGAATAACAAAAAGGTTATAACTTTAAAAAATAGTACTTTTTTGTTTTAGTTTGTATACTGTCGAAATCTTATAAGTTATTTAATGTTATTAAATATTATTTCCCCATTAAAATTGTATAATATAATAACATTTTTACTTACAAGATAAATGTTAACAACTGCTATCAGAGCAGTAATGAATAAAATTTGTTTCATTCTTGGTTTTTGTTGATGGTTATAATATTTTTTTGTACAAGTACAAATCCTTGGTGGAACTGACTATCGTGTCACTTCTTACGAGGCTAAGAAACTATTTGAAAAAAATGAAAAAAAGATATTATTCTGGTAACGTAAATTTATACATGAATTTTTTGACGAAGAAAAAATTATTGTTAGTTATTATTTTAAATTAAATAATGAAACGTTCAGTTTGGGCCAAAAAAGTTTCAAGCCAATAAGATGATAGCATTTCTCAACACTAATTTTACATTACAATCGTACAAGTACGTATCCTTAAAAGATATCTATTAAAGTTTGAACTATTTGATGCTAGATTGCTACCTTGAAAAAATTATTGAAAGTATTGTTCGATCAAAACAAAGTGCCCATTATTTTCAGTGATTGTTAAAGAAAAAATTTTAATTGCACTTCAAACTGATCGTTCGAACCTTCAAATGACTATTTCTTATTTTCGACTATTCTGTTTACAACAATGAGAAGGTAAAATTATCAACGGGCTAAGACTAAGACATTGCTGAGTTATAATTAAAAGAAGAAATACTTGCATCTTAATTATTCGTCCAAAACTATTCAAACTTGTTTTTTCGTAGATGTTCTAATCTGGACTAAATTACTGGACTTTACTGCAAATCCAATGGGATTACCTCAATATGGTTCACGCGTATAAGATTGATTGTCACACTTTTTACACATTTCACTTCTATAGAATTTTTATGTTTTAACTTGGTTGTAGTAAATAATTCATTAGTCACTCCTTTATTTGATTTCATTTTACATTATTTCATCGCATGATAAAAAATTACCCACATATACATGTGAAATGCAAGCAAACGTGTAAAAAGTATTTAAATTTGGGTTCGAGGTGTTTATTTAGGAAATCGTAGTAGTGATTTTTTATTCAATTCACTAAACAAATGGATAGTGAAAATTAATGCTGTGAAGTTGATCGGTGACTTTAGTTCACTAAATTTGTTTTAAATAACTAAAAAAATGAAGTTACTTACTTGGTTGATGCTTCTCCAATGTCGATTTTCGCTTTGGACTTTTTATCTGCGACTCACTGTACTCTCCGTATCGAGGCATATTTATTCTCGCATTTCTTCTTGTCGTAACCAAAAAAGTTAGGAAGGGGAGAAATTTTTATCGACTAACTACTACTTGTTTTGAAATCAGAATGTTGCCCCCTTAAAGCAAGCAATTGGGGCACTCTTTTAGCCACTTACAGGAGGTACACGCCCCCCCCCCCCTATTTTTGTGAGGGTTTCCTATGAACCATAATTAAGACTTTTCGAGGTACTAAAAGATGTACCAATACTGCAAGTTCCACGCGGCTTCTCCGACATAACTGGATAGAACAAGATATTGTTCAAAAAAACTTTAAATTCCTAATTATACACAATTTTTTAGTCTTCGGTCAATGACTTTCATTAAACAGAATCATAATAGGTCTTCCGAGTGCAATTTTTCATAAATATCACCAACTTACGGAAGGTTAAAGTTATAGTTAGTTATTTATTTGTATACCCAATTAATTATCGGTAATGAATGTGTTGTTTTAAAATGTGCACTTTTCGTAATTTAGTCATGTATAACAAGTTGCACTTGAGTAAATTATGTCAGTTTAAGAATTTGTTAACCGAAGAGTTCTAAATTGGGATGGATTCAGAATTTTTAACTTTGCTCAATAAATACCTTTACCTGCGAGTCAAATGATATTCGATAATTTGCACAATGTTTTCTACGACTTGAATTCCCTTTTTGATTACATAGATCTTGTTTCACATTAATTATGATGACCAAGACTTTTCATTTTTCCATTTTTTAAATCAAGTTTATACGTAATGAGCTATAAGGCCAAACGTTATGTCAAAAGTTTCGTTTAAGAGATATAATATTACAGCAAACAAGTCGAAGAAAGTGTGAATTATTTATGAATTACGTACATGGTTCATGGAGTAAATGGACGAAAAAAGCTGTAAGACTTAGAATATTAATTTATTTAACGTTTTTATTGAAAATTTTTAGACAACGTTTCTTTGCTTGAAAATGATTTTTAGGACATAAAGTGAAAAACTGTGATTTTTGCTGCGAGACCAAATGAAAATATTCTTAACAATTTTAATATTAATACCCTATTAATGGCTGACACAGAACTTTTAGAAAAATAAATAAATATA